GACCGTCTCCTCGCGGTCACTGTCCCTCGGTGTCGGGGTCACCGTCTCTCCATGCAGGGCTGAAGGAGCTGGAGTGGTGCCTGTTTGCTGAGACGCTGGCAGTGGTGGCCGTGGGGGCCTCACCAAGGGACAAGGCAGAGGGCCAGTGGTGGATGGCAGCCCAGTGGGCACCCTACCAGCGGGAAGGTGAGCCGATGCAGAGCTGCGTCCTGGTGCAAACCAGGTTCCGAGGCAAGCGGGATGGTGTGCCTGCCTCCAGCACTCTCAAAGGTGAGCCAGGGGTAGATTTAGGGTGTTCCTTCCTCCCCGGGGCTGGAACATCCCTGCCCACCTGCCCCCAGGACAGGGAATGGGGATAGTGCCGACGGCATTGTTTGAGCATGGCTTTGCTCTGCCAGCCTATGTGACCTGGCAGCTGGAGACCCTGGAGCAGGAGGAGCAGGAGTGCCTGGAGGTGACTGATACAGTGGTGGCGTGTCCTCTTCCCTGTGTTCTACCCGCTGGCCTGGGGTGTGCTCTGCAGGGCCTGGGGTGTGCCCTGCAGTGGCACCTTCCTGGGGGCTGTGCACCCTGCAAAGCTACTGTGGGTAGTCTGGTGTCCCTGGTCGTGCTTGGACTCCAGCTCTGCTGGTCCCCATCCCCTCAGTGGCAGCTGGCACAGTACCCCGGCTGACAGCAGTGCTGGGGAGTGCTGCCTCAGAGGGGGGGATGCCCTGGATCTACCCTCCACCCCGTGCCTCCCACCCCTCCTGCAGCTCAGACCATACCCCACAGAGAAGACGACCCACATTGTGAGCCACGAGCATGGGATGACTGTCACGAAGACCCTGCAGGAGGGAGAGGTAAGGTTGAGGGTAGGGTCACATCCTGGGAGGGGGCAGCACAGCTGGCCTGTCTCCCCAGGGGTGCACCAGGCATCTGGGGATGCTGGAGCTGTGAGGTAGCCAGGTCCCTCTGCAGGCAGAGCCAGAGTGCCAGAGCTTCCACTACAGCCAGGCCAAGCTGCGGGGGCTGCTGCTGGAGGGTGCCAGCCTCCTGCTGCTGAGGGTGCTGGCACGCCGGCAGACAATGCCCCCAGACCTTGTCTTCCCAGCCATCAACACCGAGGGTGACCTCTGCACCTGCAGCTATGTGAGCCACCAGCCAGGGGGGCCTGTGGGATGGGGGCATCTGGGTCAGGCTGGGGTAACCAGGATGGGATGTGGGAAGTGGGAGTGGGCAGAATGTGTTCAATAGCATGAGGGGACACATGGGGATGGCACCTGGGGGCAGGGGTGACTCTGAAACAAGGCTGAGCCCTGGGTGTACCGCCCCCAGTCTGCCCTGGGCATCCAGCGGCAGGCAGTGGGCTCGGCAGAGACGGAGGTGTTTGTGATCGAGCGAGCCGTGCACACCAGCACAGGCGCCTCCACTGTCTGGCACAGCAGCTTCCTCCCCAATGGGTAAGGGCAGGGGTCCATCAGAGGCACCCCAGCCCTGTCAGTCTGGTGGGACCCAGGATGGGAAGGTCAAGGGCTCTTCCCCTCTCAGGCATTTGGCTCAGCTGATGCAGATTGGCTCCCCGGTGCTAATGCTTCTACAGGATGAGTCCATCCTCATCAGTTCAGGTACTGAGGAGGGGAGGCTTGTGCCTCCCAGCACGGGCTGCCCCTGCCCGCTGTCTGGAAGTCAAGAGGGAACACCCTGCCCTGCCTTTCTGCTGCCAGGTAGGTTTGAGCCCCAGCTCCCCTTCCCCAAAGAGCCCCGGGACTGGGAGGAGGACATCCAGCTCTGCTCCTGCTTCCTGGACAGGAAGGTAAGATGGGTGGACGTGGGGACAAGGGGACATGGGGCTGTGCCAGTCTCCAGCAAGGCCTCCCCTGGTGTGCCCAGGAGGCACATTGAGGGGGCAGGCTGACCAACATCCTTCTTCACACCTTCTTAAGTGTGGGAAAGGACCCAGGCTCCTGTCCCCCTCAGCCTGGCACTGCCCAGGGAGGAAATGTGTGTTCATGCTCATCTCACCCACCCTGTCCACCCCACTCCAGGAGGAGCTGCAACTATCCCATGCTGCCTACCTCCAGCAGCACCCCGAGGTCCGGGCACTGCTGTCTGACTTCCTACGGGCATTGCTCCTCCAGCAGCCACAGGACCCCATCTCCTTTGCTGCAGAATTCTTTGCCTACCAGCGGCCCACTGGGACCCCCTTTTCCTCCACTGGGGCTACCAGCCCCCTCCCCAACTCCCCACCTGGCCACCCTCCAGCTGACAGCAAATAAAGCAGCCAGCACTGCCTGTCCAGTCTCATTTGCTTTGGGGAAACTGAGGCTCAGGGAGGGCAGGTGGAGCTGAGCTGTGTGCTAAAGCCCTATCATGCCTTCTGGGTGGGACCCTGTGCCACTCACAGCTGTTCTAGCCCTTCCTTAGGGGGTGGAGGGTGCCTGGGGTGCACTTTGGAGCAGGGCTAGGCTCAGATCCCTGCGCCTTCCACCATCCCACATGATCCCGGGGGACACCCCTTGCTCACCTCCCTGTGGGACACAGCCTGGCTGGCAGAAGGGCACCCCAAGATGGGCAGCTGGTACTAACCAGGCACCCTCAGGAGCACCTGAGCTGCTCCCCCTTCCGCCTCCACAGCCATGAGGGTCCTGGGGATGGGGTGCCCCACTTTTGTTGGCACAGCTTGCCATTGCAACACTGGCACCCCATCTTTGGCGGGAGGGTCCCTGCACCCGAGGGTGATGTGAGCGCCCTGTGCCACAGAGCCTGCCTGGCTGGGTGCTTCCCGCAGCAGCTAAGGGTGCATTTTGGTCTCCTTATGCAACATGTGCCTGCTTCCTCCTCACTCCCACTTCTATGGCATTTCCCCTACTCCCGTGGGGCCAGCCCTCCCTTCTCGCTCTGTGGGACATTCCCCTGTCCCCCCAGTCACCCAAGCAGAACCTTTGGCATGTGATGGAGAGTGACATGCAGACATCTTCCCACGCCCCAGTGAGGGTGACTCGTGTTTGCACGTGTGTGAGGCAAAGGGGAGGGAAGGGGCCTCCTGGCACCGGGGGGGAACCGAGACTCTGTGCTCATAGGGGTAGGGAAGGAGCACTTCCTTCTCCTATCCTTCTCCTCTCCTCCTGAGGGAGGGCGGGGGAATGACACAACCGCGGGGGGTCCTTTAAAAGCTGGGCTGCCAGCACTGCACTCAGTGCTGAAATCAGGGAGCCTCAGCACTGTGGCTGGACCGGGTCCACCCATGGCATCACTGGAACCAGGTGAGTCTTACAACACTTCTTGGGTCCCCTTGTGCCTGCTGTTGTCCCCCTAGACCCCCTTCCCTCCACCCTGGGTTGCTGTGCTCCATCTTTCAGTGGGCACCATCTCTCCCAGCCTGTCCTGGATTCCCCACCTGCCTCATCCTCTGTTCCCTCAAGCCTGGGAATGTGATTCAGCCAATACCCAGGATGTAGGTGGGCTGCAGAGGGGGGATTAGGACCAATACCAGCTTTTTGTCCTCACCCAATGCCCATCCAGCAGCAGGAGATGGGGCAGGGTCCCCTCCTGTCCCTGCTGCCCAGAAACGCACTTGGCTCTTGGACTGGAGAAGACGGGGCTGAGACCAAGGGGTTTAGGGGCACCTGAGCAGGAGGTGGCATCTGATCCCTTTGGGTAGCCTTTGATAGATCCCATAAAGTCATTGTCATGGCCCTCTTGGGAAACTGGTGCTTGTCCCCCATGAGGTTCATCAGGCAGGGTCAGGTGGGACTGGAGGAAGCTGGTACCAGGGCTGCCAGCCCACCAGTGTCCTCGTTCCCGTGGCAGGCTGCCACCTCCCCTCCTCTTTCTTGTCCCCCTCAGGCCTCACCAGGTCCCTGAACAGGGGCCAAGAGCAGAGTTACAGCACTGGCAGGAGCCCCAAGCCTCTGCAGCACCCTGGCACTCAGGACCAGACCTACCTGGCAGAGCTCATCAGCATCCCCAAGGGCAGTGGGGTAGGCACTGCAAGGCTGTCTCAGGGAGGGTGGGGGAGTGGGACAGTGCTGCAGGGAGCTGCGGGGAGGTGGGGAGACAAAAGGCCACTGCAGTGGGGAATATGTGTCTTGGCTCATGCCCTGGGGACATGCCCCCAGCACCCCAGACCCAGCTCAGGCAAGTCACAGCCTTTTGTTGGTTGTTTCCATGTTTGAAGTTGTCCAGACAGAGAAACTGAGACAATGGGGCAAGGATCACCCCACTGCTCACACACCTCCTGGGCCACCCATGGATGAGCCCAGTGGGGCTCCCCAAGGCTGCTTGCACCCCACCAGCCACCTCCATCCTTGTCTGGTCTCGGGGCAGTGTAACAGAGGAGGGGAAGGAATGGATTCCCTAGTCGGGAGGAGTAGCAAAAGCAGAGGACAGCAGCGGAATTCCATGGGATGCAATTAATAGTGCCTGACAGCGCTGGGACTCCCCTGCAAATCACTGTCCAATGGGTGAGACGGGACTCACTGCCCCTCCAGCACTGCTGCAAACAGTCAGGAAAATGACCTCCATGTGCTAAACACATCCACACGGGCAGCACTGGGCTAAAGGGGACTGGATGTGCAATTAGGAGGCACTGGTTTTGAACGGGAGCTCCTGGCTCTGACCTGCTGCTCTGTCCCAGCCTGGGTTCAGCTTTAGGAAACTCTGGGCTTTCACCGGTCCCGGCTTCCTCATGAGCATCGCCTACTTGGACCCAGGCAACGTGGAGTCAGACCTGCAATGCGGGGCTCTGGCGGGATTCAAGGTGAGCCCCGCTCCGGGCTCAGGAAGCGGGCGGGGGTTTCGTAACCTCTCCAGCAGCAACGGCTGCCCCTGGCAGCTGCCTTCCCCAGCCCGGGAGCAGGAAGGGCACGGGGGCCTCGGCACAGGGAGAGGCCACCCAGGGGGGCACCCCTCTGACTGGGCAGGAGAGCACCCGCACCCCCTCTGTTCCCTGCAACCCCGGTTGAACTGGGGACCCCCGGGCGGCCGGATCCTGTCCGGTACCCAGTCCCTACTGCCTCCCTCCCTCCTGCCCCCCAGCTGCTGTGGGTGCTGCTGTGGGCCACCGTCCTGGGGCTGCTGTGCCAGCGCCTGGCCATCCGTCTAGGTGTGGTGACCGGGAAGGACCTGAGCGAGATTTGCTACCTCTATTACCCCAAGGTGAGCAACCACGGGGAGACCCCTGGGGTCGCGGTCTGGGGCAGACACGGTGCTTGGGCTGGTGACAGTCCTAGCAGGGACTTGCAGGGCTGGAGAAGAGCAGAAAGATGCTGTGATAGACCTGCCTCTCTCAGGGGCTCCCCAAAGCCCCCCAAGCCCCGGTGTCCCCCACCTAGTGCCCACACCTCTGCGGCAGAGGGGCCCAGGGTGAGAGGTGGTAAACACCAGTGTCCTGGTGTGACCTGGGGACACATGAGAGCGTCCCCCACGGGAGTGAGCCCAGGCGTCGGGGCAGCAACGCGAAGCCGAGACGCAGGAAGCCAGTGCATGTTGGGGCAGAAAACTGGGGAGAGTCGAGGGGAGGGATCACATGGAGGGGGGGTGTTAGGGGTCCCGTCTAAATGTCAAGATCCTGATCGAGCAAGGAGATGCTGGCTGAATGACAGGACCCCAAAAGGAGGGTTGGACACATCCCTCTGCCCCACCTCCCTCAAACCCCCATATCCAGACAGATGGGTCCCATCCTCAGCTCTCATGGGGCAGGGATGGGGGTGGGGGGGAGCAGGGAACAGGCTCGGATTTAGCATCTGTCTTTCATCCTGAGGTTGTGTTGTGAAAGAAGCTGAGGGGGGTCCCCATGCTGCTCTGCATGGCCAGCTACAGCCTGGAGACAGGGATTTGCACCCAGAACGCTGTGCCAGCTTGCCCAGAGCTACACACCACTGTGGGCTCAGGCACCTCATGGTGCCCTGTCCCCTCCAGGTGCCCCGTGTGCTGCTCTGGCTCACGATTGAGATCGCCATCATCGGCTCCGACATGCAGGAGGTGATTGGGACAGCCATTGCTTTCAGCCTGCTCTCAGCTGGCCGGTGAGCCCCCTCACAGGGACCCCCAGCCTTCCCCAGGGGCCTACTCCACAGAGGGCCATGTATCTAATCCCACCCCTGGCCATTCTGCAGCATCCCCCTCTGGGGTGGGGTCCTTATCACCATTGTGGACACCCTCTTCTTCCTCTTCCTCGATAAGTATGGTGAGTGCCAAGATGAGGGCTGGGGGTATTATCACCCAGGCTGCCCTGGTGGCCATGTGGCACCAGTGTCCCCTGCTCTGTTCCACCCCATCTCTTTACCTTTCTAGGACTCCGCAAACTGGAGGCTTTCTTTGGCCTCCTCATCACCATCATGGCCCTGACCTTTGGCTATGAGGTGAAGGGGGGAGCTGGGGACAACCCTTTTCCTGTAAGGCTGGCAAGGGACCCCGCCACTTGGTGTCCCCACTGCTACCAGCCTGTGGTAGGGGGGTGGCAGCTCACAGTGCCCCTTCTACTGCTTCACAGTACGTGGTGGTGAGGCCAGGGCAAGTGGAGGTGCTGAAGGGCATTTTCCTGCCCAGCTGCCCGGGCTGTGGGCGAAAGGAGCTGCTGCAGGCCATGGGCATCATTGGTGCCATCATTATGCCCCATAACATCTTCCTCCACTCCTCCTTGGTCAAGGTGAGATCAAGGCACTGCCATGGGCACTGTTCTGCCAGGGTGCCTCAGGGTACACTTGGTGGGGACCAGCTGGTCCTGGCTGTGGGACAGGGGTGCTCACATGACCCCGTGACACCTGTGCCACTGGCCATGCCCAGACACGGGCGATCGACCGGTCCAAGAAGGAGGCGGTGCAGGAGGCCAATATGTATTTCCTGACTGAGTCCTGCCTGGCCCTCTTTGTCTCCTTCCTCATCAACCTCTTTGTCATGGCTGTCTTCGGCGAGGCTTTCTACCACCAGCGAAATGAGGACGTGGTGAGTGTCACCTCATGTGCACGGGGAGCTGTGCCCAGCTGTGGACATGGGCAGGATGAGCATCCCCTGGGGATTGCACGTTCTCATTCCCCGAGACGTGATGTGTGGGGATCCCCCAGTGCCTGTGGGAGCTGCTGGGTGGCTGTCACACTCATGCCTGCCATGCCTTACAGCACAACAAGTGCATCAACAGCACCATCAGCCACTACGCCAGCATCTTCCCCACAAACAACAAGACAGTCTCTGTGGATATCTACCAGGGGGTGAGTGGCACCAGGCTGTGTCCAGTGAGCATCCATTCCCATTTAGGGGATATATCACTCTCCCCATTGGCCCCTGGGGTGATT